CTGCAGTTAGAGGTCTGCGCCTCATCCCTTTTCTTCCAAGGATGCAGAAGGAGACCTTGGATGGTACTGGTGATCCAATTCCATAGCAGAGATCTCCCTGGCTACCTGCTCCTCACATCTTTCAGCTACTGCCAGGTGTAAGCAGGTGAGCTTCCTGTTCTCCAGGTGCAAAAACTGAACTATCCATTCACCAGTCACTGACACCATCCTTTGTCCTCACCTTGTGATGGGTTCAATCTATGCTGAGCCAGCACAAGGAGGGAAACTGCTCCAAAGTCCCAAAATTGTCTTTAGCAAGAGTGTTTGTGCTTCTGCTTGTCATTCGTACAATAGAAAAATGGGCTTGGCGTGTGGAAATACTGCTGTGCTCATTGGAGAGGGGTTAAAGACGTGGAACTCAATGTGTAGAAATTATACAGTTGTTCATAAAAGGAGGTAAAATAGGCAGTAAAGATGTTGCAGCATGAACATCAAAGGAATGTGACCTTACTTGGAAACATTATTTGGTAGGTTGCATCTAATTCTACAACCTGACTTGTAAGAAAGGCTGAAGAGAAGACACTTTTATTTTATTTTTTTTTTTTTCCCCCTCTGGCTTCTAAGGATCTTTATTTATCACCCTCAGGGGCATTACAGTGAGTAATTAGATTGGACCAGGAGAACGACTTAATTTTACAAGAAACTCATTAATTCATCCTATTTAAAATCTTCTCATTTCACCCAAAACCAATTATGCTAGTAGTGGCAATGATCTGGAAAGGCATTGTCTCGTAGGCATTAGGGGGGCTGTTGGGGCTCCCCTGGCATTCATGTTGGGGAGACAAGGGTGACTCCCTTTCTTTGACTTTTAGGTCAAAAGAACTAGTCGCTGGGACAGCTTGACAATTAGAAAACCCTGATGAGCATTTGGAACTCAAACAGCTGTACAATAACAGAGGAGTTCATGGTGCGGGGCAGAAAGCTCATCAAAAGAGACTATCCAAACAATTGAGTTCTATAATTAACACACAAAAATCTGCTCAGAAATGGTAATAACAGTAAAAGAGAGCTGAGAAGATGCTGCCTACTTATGTGGCAGATGTGGTTTTGTTACAATCTGAGGGAGAAAATCCATCCTTTTAAAGAGTAGGAGGAACATTAGAGGGGGAAAATAAAAGTAACTTCTTATTCCTAAGGGTGCAATTAAAGCATGAGCTTAAAATATTTTCACACAGACAGGAGCCATAGAAAAAATAACTGCTGACGACAAAACATATAATGTGCTATCAAAGTATTTGATACACAAATTTCTTTTCGGTCTGAAACTTAGAAGAAAAACACTGATGTATTTTTTCTGAAATTATTTGTTTTGTCCTTCATTTAACCAGGAATATCATTCTTGTTTTTTTCCTCAAAGTTGGCTCCAGTGCCTTTCCACCCGCAGACTGTCAGCAGCATTACCCATGTGCCCAATGGACACGGGAGCACCAGGAGCATCTCTCATCCACTGCTGACCCCATGGTGGCTCCGGCCAGGGGGAACCCATCCCATGCAGAGCACCTCGACGGTGGCACACGCAGCACTGGGATTTGTAAGGGATGGCTCTGCAGCCCAGGCTGCATGTGCTCCATTTTCTTGAACAGCTTAAAATGCTGAAGGGGACTTTTCTCATTTTTATCCAGAAATCAGAGGAAAAAAGAATCAAAGTTTATTTTAAAATAGTTTTTAAAAATATTAATTCTTTTTAGTTGCAGTAAAATAGAAGTATGTGACTAGAACTCCATGCACTATGAAATTCTGAAATCGCTGCCTGAAATTTTCTAATGGAGAATTCAGCATTTGGCAAGAGCTTGCAAGCAGACTTTCTAGCCCACACATGTTTTTTCCTTTAAAAAAAAAAAAAAGCCATAAAAACTAGAAAATCAGGTTTTAATGAGAAAAATGAAGTTTGAAAAACGGCCTGAGAAAATGTACATGGAGATTGGACTGAAATTCCGTAATTCTTCTGAGCGCTTCTTGCAGCTCTGACGTCTATCGGTTCGGTCATTTTTGTTCTAAAAAAGAACCCCTGTGGTGCTGGCTGGCACTGCTGGACAAATGCTGCCTGCCTTTAGGGGAAATAGAAATTAAATAGATTGTAACATGGCAACTCCAGGATATCAGCATGTTTATTTCAAGCTGACGTCCATTTAGAGTCAATGAGATTTGTTCTGAAAGAAACTGTGAGCATTTTGATACTGAAAATATTTTTCAGAATTTTCTTTGGATACAGTGCAGAGGGCCGTAACCTTGCTGTGGGTGAGGTGAATGGGAGAGAAGATGTCTGTTTGTTTTTCTTATTGTTGTTTCTCTAAGCTAACAGAAAGAGCTAATTAAGGCAAAGCTAAGGAACACAGTTTGTACAGCACACGTGAACTCATCTTCTCACATTGGAATGTTTTGAAAGCTGTGTAAGAGCGCTGCTCGTGGCCCGCCTTGCCCTGCAAGCCCTTCCTAAGACAGCAGCGGGATGAAGATCTGCAGCCAGGCAGGATGCCCATGGAGCAGGTTCTGCATGGGCTGTGTGCTGGCCTCTGAGCCAGGGAGCTCCTAGGCAGCTCTTCTGCTGCCTGCCCTGGCTCTGCTGGTGATGGCTGCTGCCGCAGGGCTTTGTGTGGAGCTGCCCTAGCAGGATTAGATTTAACCAAGAAGTGACAGTGCCACCGAGCTCTGGGAGTAAAGACTGCTGGCTTAGTGCAGCATGTTCTCTAATGCAGTTTTGTGCCACGTGCTGAAATGTGGTGAATCTCAGAGCACACGGAAGCAAAGAGAGCTGATGGCTCTGTGCAGCTGGAGCAAAATGGCTGTGTGCGCTTCAGAGCAGTCACTGCACTGGGAGAGCCTTCTTCAGGTCTTGAAATATTAATGATTGTGGCTTAATATAGTAGAAAGCAAAATACAGTGCTTCAAACAAAGGGGAAAAATCCTTGACTTACAGTCTGTTGACCTTGCAGTACCCACTGCATCCATCTATTACCTGTAAAGGGAGTGAGCAGAGGAAGGATCCTTAACCCTGCTCCCTTTTTCTACCTTTCCAGTAAAACACTGGAGTCAGTGCAGAGCTTGCAGCTGTGAACAACACCATCAGAGTGCTCTAATACTGGGGAAATGCAAAATGTAGCTCTTCATTTATAACTTCTGTGAACAATCATGCTCATATTAAAATAATGTTAGAGTTCATGTGATTTTCTTTGAAACCCTTGAATAGCAGACGGAAGCAGTTAGTGTGCTCTCCGCTTGGACTCCTGTTTCCCACTGTACTGACTGTGCTGCTGGGCTGAGGCAGAAGAGCAGAACCAGGACTGACATCTCAGCTCAGAACCAGCTGCTGTTCAGCTGGCTGCAGGGAGGGCTTGTAGCAATAGCACAGCTCGTTCACCGCGTATTGCAAAGAATGGAAAATTAATTTCCTTTTTTTCTTTTTTTTGTTTCTTTTTTTCCTTTTCCTGATCCATTCACTCCACAAGCAGGACCCATGGCTGTGCCCAGCTGACAGGCTGTGCCCAGGGTTGTGCCGTGCTGGGGGCACGCTGCTGATTTGGCCCCACCACTCCTCCTGCCAGCACTACGGTTTCTGATTCTCCTCGAAGCCCCAGGGCCATTTGAAGCAGGGCCAGAAAGCACCTTGCGAGTTGAACCTTATCTAATTGCGCAATGTGTGTAAACTCCGGAAGCATAAATCTCAGTCATTTGAGCAATGTGTTTTTATAAGATTCTCTGGTCCAGTGGCAGCCAAAGCGAGCAAAAGCGAGCCGGTCTCCCAGCGCTTCTGCAGATGGTGCACGGCACGTCGTAAAGTTAGGGCTCGTTAGGGAAATTCCAGAAATGGCTTTGGTTAATGAGGAAAGCAACTTGCTGGTTTATAAGTGTGTTACTAAACCCCTCCCCGTTCCCAGTATGGACAGCTTCATTAAAGAAGGGGAGGGAAAGGAGAGCAGCTGATGGAAGGTGAGCAGGAGAAGGAGCCTGGGCTGGACAGGGCCGGGTGGCAACTGTGCACTGCATTGGGCAGGGAGACGGGACTGTGGCACTAGGGCAGTGATAAATGGCAACGTGTGAGGGGGACTTGGTGTTAGGGCAGCGATCAGTGGCCAAACATGAGTGGGAGTAGTGCAGCAAATGCCTGGAACTACCTTCCTTTGTACATGTTTTGCGTGTTTTCTCTTTGTCCATAGTGCTGAAAGCAGGGTGGTGGTTGGCTTTTATCTCGAGCCAAGGGAGAAATTTCTGAGATGGCATACGCGTTAGCCACTGTTAAAATGTGTTATTAATGATACTAATGAGTTTTTTCCAAGTGATGTAAAAGTACCCATCCGTGTAAGCATTGCACTTACAAAGATGATGTCATGGAAAGCTTGCCAAGCCACACATGGGACCTCATGCCAGTGGTGCAGTCAGTGATGAGTCCTGGCTTCGGGGAGGGGAGAGTACTGCTGATTTCCTCTGCTGGGGATCGGGAGCCAAATTAATTCTGCCTTTCCAGGAGGGAGATGAGCCATTTCCGGGCATGTCAGGCACATGGCCTCGCTGCCAATCACAGTGGGTTCCTGTCCCATTCCCTCTTAAAAATTGGCAGGGTCTGGCTGTCAGCTGCCATTCCTTAAGTGGTCATAGAATGAAGCAATTGCACCCTTTTGTTGCATGCTCTGGTGTCTGTGAATGCAGGTGGACGTGGGTTAAACAGCGTGCAGCTCCACAGTAAGCACAAAGAGGCAGCTGATTTTCTGGCAGCGTCAACACAAGTCCATAATTTTTTTTGCCATCTCCAAGCCAAGATGGCTCTTGTTGGAATTAGAAATTGGTATCTCCTGACATAGGAGTAGTCATTAAGAGTATGGTGATTTTAATTCTTCACCTGGGGCTAAGAGGACATCATTAGATTCTTTTGAAATGTCTCCTGCCTTGATTTTGAATAAGTAAGGCAGAGATTTATGGCCACAGTCTGGGCAAGTAACACTCTCCCTTCCTGTCCCTCTCTCTAGCTTGCAAAATCGGATACTACAAGGCGCTCTCGACAGATGTTGCGTGTGCCAAATGCCCGCCTCACAGCTACTCCATCTGGGAAGGCTCTACCTCCTGCACCTGCGATCGGGGCTTTTTCCGAGCTGAAAATGATGCTGCGTCCATGCCCTGCACTCGTAAGTTGGTATTTAAACACTTTCTTCCCTTTCCATCGCCTGTTTCTCATACTGCTTGGAGAGCTGTGTCTAAGAAGTCCTGCTTCTGATAGCAGTGTCCATTAGCTACTGCAGCCCTTTGCAGAGGAGGTTTGCATTTTGGATCACGCTTCTGGGAGAGAAAACACTAGTTTTCAGCCCTGAATTCCTAACAGTGATATGGTTGCACTGACCCTTGAGAGATTACAGTCTAAAGACTTGCAAGCTTCAGCAATGGAAGTAATTACAGGTCTAATTTCCAGTCTGAGGACCTGTCTAGTAGATGACATCACTCTCCATATTTAAATTATTGGTATTTCTAGAAATTGTGACATCTTTTTTTTCATAATTATACGATAAGGAGTAAATATATAGTATTTATAATTTCATTAAATATCTAATTTGCACAAACTATTGCTGATGCCCCTTAGGAATATAGGAGTGTTCCTCCAAAAGGCATGGTAATAAGAAATTTTAAACCATAATGAATAAAACCTCCCCAAAAGTATGGTTTACTTTATCCTTTGTATATAAATACATCCTTTGTATATAAATACATCATGCACAGCAAATGGAATTATGCTTCAGTTCCACCAGAACATTTTCAGCATGAGAAACAAAAGGCGTAGCACGCTGAGCACACCCGCCGAGTTACTGGAACAGCTCCTTGTCCTGTGTGTTGGTTAATGGGTTAGGCAGCCAAAGACCGGAGACTCTAGACATGCCCTGGTGTTAAATCGTGATCATCCACTGCCTTGGTTTTTGTTTCTGTAGGAGCAGAGTAGTTTGAAACCGTAAGTGAAAGGGCTGTATTTTACTGGGGGATATCCATGTGTGACTTTCTCTGAAAGCTATTGAAAATGCTTCCAGATTTTTGGAGTTCAACTGTATATTTATGTAGCGTGTGTGTCTGTGAGGGAAGGCTGAGATATTTCTTTTGTAACATTTTAATATATTCCAAATTCATTTTAGAGAGATGACTCACATTTGTTTCAATCTTAATTTCTCCCTTACAAGGCAGAAACAAACTATGTCCATAACTCAGCAGCACTCATCCCTTTCCCACACCCTGTGATTCCAGCTCTTCCTCAGTGATCTCCTTCCTTTCAGCTGGGAGTTTTGCTGGGTGGTGGCTGATCAGGTCTGGGTATAGTCAGGAGCAGCTGCTTTAGCTTAGTAGGAAAGCAGAGAAGTCCCTGTATCTCTTGCCAAATGCTGATTGGGGATAGAAGTCTAGCTGTGATGTGAAACCTCACTGAAGTTGAGTGGGATCGTGCTTTTTGTAATACTGTTTACACTAGAAGATTTCAAACTTGACCGTTTTGATAGGGAAAATGTCTTTAGCAACAATAAAACTGTTGTTCAGAAGATACACTCTAAATATACCAGCAAAAATTTTCTCATAAAGCTCTGGTTGTAGCAGCTGACATACTGACCAAATAGAAATCAAATTAGGAATCAGCTGGTTGAATTTAAATAGGCACGTGTGGGACTGAAGTATGAGGAGAGAGCAAAATAATTCCAGATGGGGGAATTGTGAGCAAATGATATGTATGTTTGCTTACATTGCAAAATGTACTCTTGCAAGCCTAGCCTTTTTTTGTCAAGTCTTGGACTTGCTTCTGGCAGCCTTCCCCCTTCTGGTATTTGGAGGTCAGTCAAAGTTGAGGTCTCCTGTCTTGCTCTTCTACAGTGAAAATACGGAGAGTGCAAAAGAGAGGGCAAGGGCCATGGTGTTGGCCACAGTCTTCATCTCTGCAGATGTGATGTGCAGAGAGGCAAGCCAACAGCACAGTCCCACGGCCGCCTGGCCCTGGGAAGCAGGCCTGTCTCTGCACATTTCATAGCTCTGAATTTTCACCAGTAGCTTAAGAGCTGCTTTTTCTGTGATCCAACATGAAGTAAGACTCAGAAGTTATTTTGGAGCTGGCTGGTGGGGCTGCTTTGCTCACTCACACCTTCTCTTCATTGCTGGAGCGTGGCTGTGATGGTGGCAACTGTGCAGGCCCTGGGTGCAGCCCATGGGGCCTTGTACAAGAATGGGGTCAGGCTCCTGGAGGGCCATCCTTTGCCACACCAAGTTGCCTTATTCCCACGGGTTTTAGGCAAGTGCCAGGAACCATTGGAAAGGCCTGTGTTGAAGGAAGGCCCTCCGGAAGAAACTCCCTGTTTGTCTGCCTCTCCTGATAAGATGTGGAGACAGAAGGGACCGTAAACATCAAAAGTTCTTTCAGATAGATTCAGACTCTAATCAGTTCTTACCAGTTGGTTAAACCAGGTGACAAACCCAATTCCCTTGTGCTGACAGCCATAATAATCAGGCACCTTCTTTGTTCATTATGCTCTCTTTAACCCTGGTATTCTCATTCGGCCCTGCATTTAGTAATCGCTCAGTGTGACGGCACACTAATGAAGAAATAAAACACAGTATCAGAGATCCATTCTTTTAGCAAAAAGATAGACTGTGCTCCACTGGCTTGTAAAATCAGCTTTCTGTTCACTTGGAGAGCTATTAGACCAGGTGAATAAAAGTAACATTAGGTAATTTGGAGACAACACCTGGAATGGACAGAGGATTGATCCTTTCTTTCTTATTTCTAAACAGTTTTTAAGATGAAGAACTTCAGGCTTCTTAGGATGTGTTTTTGTAAAACTTTGACCCTTGGCTATTGATTTCCTTTGCTAATAGGCTGGCTGGACTCGTCGTTTATCTTGCCTTCTAGGTTGGGTGAGGAGGACTGTTATGACTTTCCATTAGGCTGTCTGTGCCAGTGGATGGCAGGGAATTGGTGAATTCCCTTTCCTTTCCTTCCTCACAGCTCGCATGGTACGTACTAAGCAGCTCCTCCTTCCTGATGTGCTGGTCAGAGGAGGTGCTTCAGAGTTTCCTGGTTCCAGAGCACCACTATCTGACATTTCTATCCACTGTTGAGTTGTAAAAACTGTGCTTAACCTTCAGTTCAGTCAGGCATCCAATCTAAACAAATAGCTGAAGCTCTCTGTTTAGCATTCTTCTCTGTTTAGCTCTGCTGAAGTGAGTGGTTATGTCTGCCCTAAATCTCCTACAAGAAAGGGCAGAATGTGGCTGGACGTGAGTGTAAGAGACAGTGGGCTGTGTCGGAAAGCCAGGCAGGCATAGACACTCTGACTTGCACGTACTTAACTGATGCCTCTTTTCCCTCACGCTTCCCTCATGGGAATAATAATCATTGTGTCTGTCACCACCAAGCTGCAGAGCCGCCCTGGATCTGCCTCATTGACCTGTGCTGGGAGTTTAGACTTTGAATGCTGAAGCACAGTGGACTTGTCAGCTGTGTGCTTGGGCGTGGAGGTGGTTATGATTGACCTCGGGTTCACTTGAGCACAAACTGTGGCAAACACAGAAATTCTCCCTTTTGGAAGCATTGCAGAAGTTGCATTAGGGCAAATATTCAAACCTTCTTTGTATTTTAGTACTTGCTGAGGGAATGGGCCTTTCATAAGGTTAGCAGTCCAATGGGGAATAAACTGCCTTACCAGGACACAGATCCATAAGGCTGATTAACAGTCAGTCTCAATCATGATCCTCATTCTGGACTTTCTTTCTCTGTAAAGATGTGGCAGCGAGACTCCCTGAATCGCAGCCTGATGCAGGCAGGTGCACTTCCCACCCAGACTAATGGGTGTTGGTCCCACGTCCCCACTGTTAATGAGTCAGGTTCTCAAACTGTTTCTTAACAAACAATGCTTACATTATGAGCAAATATGGGATGGTTTTGTATTGTTTATATTGTCTGTTCAATTCTGATTATTAATGACTTTTAATTGGGAGCCCTCTACAAAATAGAGATTACCAGGCTGTCCAGCTTGAAATTTGTCTCAGTAAGTGACCCTGAAACATTTAGTCTGTTGTTCCACCCAGTCACTGGTTGATTGGTATTTTGGCGTGCCCTGAAATATTTCCGAAACCGTTGCATTTAAGACAGTTTATACCAGAGAAGCTTAGAGATAATGAGGGTAAATTCAGTGAGATGCATGAGAAAAGTGCCTGCTTTAAAAGGGCTTTCTCCAGTTCAGGTTAAGAAATCGAAGAACCTGACTTGAAACAGCAAACATCACTTAGTTGTCTTTACATTCGCCTCTTCTAATTGAATTTAGCACAGTGCTGTATTTCCTCCAGAAAGTATATTGTTTTTAAATTACCATTTCAGTGCTATTACTCAAGGCCCCGGCTTCTAATGTTTTCTGACAGTTATCAGTGTAATGAGCCATAATGAAATGATGAGCAATCTACAGTGGAAACTCGATGTGGATTCCACTAGAGCTGTGTGACTGTTGTCAAAATTTGAATGCACATTAAAATAACACTGTCCTTACTTGTTCCCAAGGTTGGGGTTTTAAAAAAGGTCGGAAAGGTCTCAACACTTCGATTTCATAAATGTTAGTTAATACATGCCCTGTGCTCAGTCTTCTGTGGCACATAATTTATCTAAGAGAGAAATATTTGACCTGCATTTTCAAAAAAGAGTGAATTTACCTACCTAATAACTGTGCTTGTGAAGGAGTAATTACACAGGAGCTGATTATTCGAGCATATGTTTATTATGGTTGCTTAGACTTTTAAATAAACAAATGTGCCCTTTTCCTACAGCTTAACTCATGCCTCTTCTAAATTTTGAAACGTACACTGATTATCACTGTTCTGGCTTTTATATAGAGGAGTAAGAAAGTGGGATACAGTGCACTGCCCTGTGGTGGCTGGTGTGTTGTAGGTAGTTGTGTACTGACTGTGCCATGCTTTCTCCCCAGGACGCTTCTCTGGCACTGAGGCAGTCTGAGCCATGACATAGAAGCCCGCTCTCTGTAACGTGAAATATCTGCCAAAGCAGTCTCTGTTCTTCTGATACAAAATTTATGGCATAATAATTCTTCTGCACCTTTCTATCTATTCTCACGTTTGTTAAATTATTTCATTCCTAAAACATCGTAGAAGATTGTTCATT